CTCCAACAAAAGAAAAAACAACAACACAACAACAACAAACAAACAAACAAACAAACAAACAAACCAACTTACTGTAAAAAACAACAACAACCCTCCTCCACCAATCCCCACAAGCAAACAGTCAACACACAATGGCGCTCACACGACCTGACGCAGTTGCAAGCGCCGTAAAAACCCTCATGTGACCTGATGCAGTTGCGAGCGCCGTAAAAACACACGACCTGATGCAGTTGCGAGCGCCGTAAAAACCTGTAACTAAAACAAACAAAGACGTGAGGACGAAGTTACCTGGCAGAAAATCTTTCCCGTCCACGGACTTGACCTTGAGTTTCCCGCCAGATAGCTCTCTGAGCTCCGTGGCCTGGTCGTCTGTGACGCCATAGATGTGGGAACCGTCGATCCAGGCCGTCTGCGCGTTGTACTGTTGGCGCACACCGGAAGTGTCGGTCACGTGCTTGGAACGCTCGAAGTACATGCATCTGGGAGGGGGGGGGCGGGGAGACGACATGGGAGGGAACAAAATACGACATTTCAGCTCAAATAACTATACAAATATACAACAAACAAACAAACAAACAAACAATTCCAGCACAATCGAATAACATTGGATAACAATCAACTTTGGTGTAAACGTATAGATCTAAAGAATTGTTTGTAACATGGAACAGTTCTAATTTCATGCAACTTAACAAACAACAGGTGAATGTAAATATATTTCTTGGTGTAGGCTGAGTTTACACCAGAGTGACGCTGTAGCTGTCCCCACCGTTTTAGGCAAGACAAATTATGAAATTATGCAAACTGAACCCAAAAATGTGAAATTATGCAATTCTGTTAATTTTAACAAAGAATGATAAAGGAAAATAATCAGAAATTATGCCCCAAAAAATCAAATTTGGCTAAAATTATGCGGGGTAGCTGAACTATAGTGGGGTAAAAAATTCGGGGTGCAACTTATCCTCAAATATCGGGTGAATCAATGTCATCCATACTTTGCATAGCAGTTTGTATCAATTTGTCTTAACTAAATCATATTTTTCTATTTCCTATGTTAAAAAAAACTTTTCTTCATAAATTTATATAAAATACTTGAAATTTCTGTCACACGTAAAATGGTCTTGTTCACAGCACTTCCCGCTTCTCACACACATTTTGATTACGTCACAGTTCATCAAAGACAATTTTTACTTGCAAAACTTGTTAAAAGAAATTATTGTTATAGTGAACACATTTTTTGCACTTATGGCTCTCAAAACATGCGTTCAATAAGTATGATGTCCCGATTAGAAAAACCTGACGGACTTGCTATTAAAATCAACATTGCTCCAGCTGTAAACATTTAAAAATCTGTAGAAACCACCCACTTGGATTGTTTATTAGTATTTATTTAGGAATTTTCTAGAATACAGCTTGTAGGAGTTTACAAAAATGTTGATCTGTTAAGACAAATTGATACAAGGCACGGTGCAAACATTGGAGAACCTATGTTCGATAGTTGAGGAGGTATTTGAAAATATGTCGCACCACGAATTTTTGACAGCACTATAAGAGACAAAGTCTTACTGTGACTCAGTGGTAGTGAAGTAGGCGTCGTCCTGACTCATGATGATGGGGAAACACACCCCGCCACTTTCCACATCCGGGTGGAGCTCACTTCCGGTTACCAGCTCGTCGTAGCAGCAGTCGGAAGTGGGCGTGTCTGTGGGGGTGAGGGTGATGTCATGGTCCAGGAACTGCCCCCACTGCATGACCATCAGGTTCATGTTGTTTGTCGTCTTGTTCTCGGGGTCGTGAACCAACACGCTGATGGACCGGGGGCTGGGCAGGGAGGTGCCTGGTGGGGCGGAGATAACGGTTTGTAGTTGCTGTTTTGTATTTTTTGGTAAGAGTTTTACGGCACTTGACACACAATTCGGTCATATAAGTTCCGAAGATTAGAGGTGTTACAAGAGAGTAACAAACACAAAAAAGAAGGAGGAGAGATAAGGACGATGGTTTTTTTTATAAGAAAGACGGAGCAAGCTACACAAGAGCACCCGCCAACCACCCACCTCCTATTTCTTTTTTTAGTTTTAGTGAGGTTTTACTAACGGACAGCTCGATTAGGAGACTTCTGAGAGTATCGTAGAAGGAAAAGAAATCAAATGAGGTAGTGCTTGGCGAAGCCCACGTGGGACGCTCAATGTTAAAAACAATCAGGAAACGACAAAAACACTTTTTGGGACACCTGAATAGACGTAAGGGTCTTGAACATCTCACAGGAAATATTGAAGGCAAACGAGGCAGGGGTAGGCCCAGAGCAACCTACTTAGGGAACCTACACCAATGGGTAACGAGGAAAGATCAGGGAAAC